ACTACCTTATAGGGGGTTGGATGGCCGAATGGTTAGCACATGCACGCTGTATTATAAGGCCTGTCATTGAGTCAACTGGCGTGGTTTCGTATACATGGTTGTACGTGACAAGGAGTAGGGTCGTCTGTCCAAGTCCTGAAATGACCTAGTTTGTGTCAAGTGGACGTTAAACCCCATCTGTGTGTGTGTGTCTCTCTCTCTCTCTCTCTCTCTCTCTCTCTCTCTCTCTTTATTCCTACACCAACCACCTTATGAAAGGCGTGGCCTATATCTGGGTGATATCCCTGGAAACAGATATCGCGATATTTTAAGAAAATATCACAATATAATCACTATATCGCGATATTTTATAAAATGTCAATAATTTCAGTTTATATCCTTTTAAATATAAATAAACATGCATAAAAAGTTGAAAATACAATCAATATTAAAAGTTCTTAGCATACATACAGTACCGAATTTACAAACAAAATTTGATGAGCTGGTTCAAACATAGATCTAATAACCATAAAGACTTGCTAAAAATGTTGGTCTGTGTGTTGCTGTTTATTATAATTATTATAATGTTCTTTTTTTTTTCGATATTTTTCTGAAGATGGTATTTTTGACAGTATTTTTGTAACGGTTTTATTTCAAAAAAACAAAATATCGCCCAGCTCTAGTGGTAAGGAGGTTGGATGGCCGAATGGTTAGCATGTGCACGCTGTATCATAAGGCCTGTCATTGAGTCAACTGTCGTGGTTTCGAATCCCCGGTTGTACGTGACAAGGAGTAGGGTCCCCTGTCCAACCTCGTGGGTTTTCTCTGGGTCCTCCGATTTCCTCCCACTGCTAAAGACCCCTACACGCAAGCGAATTATTGAAATAAAAAAAATTAAACCATATGTTTGTCCTGAAAAGACCTAGTTTGTGTCGAGTGGACGTTAAACCCCATTTCTCTTTCTCTCTCTCCCTCTGGGTCCTCCTGATTCCTCCCACTGCTAATGACCTCATGCGCAGGCTAATTATTTGAAATAAAATTTACCATGTTAGTCCCGAAATGATGTAGTTTGTGCCAAGTGGATATTAAACTCTCTCTCTCTCTCTCTCTCTCTCTCTCTCTCTGAAAGGTTTGAGTAGGCTGCCCTTATAAACATATACCTTATAAATATATACCGGTTTCTGACATTGGTTAAAGTCACACATTTTACTATCAATATTTAGCTTTCATTATACTGCCAATAATTAAATACGCAATTTCTTCCTTCCATCGCCCGTTATCGATAAAAAAAAATAGATTTTACTGTCAATTTTAAAAACAGGTTTAGGAGAAAAATACATTAGAACCTGTCGATGGCACCTCAAAGTCTAATATTTTAGAAATATTGACAGTTATAAATATCAAGATGGATTCAAGACATCCAAAGAATTAGATTGGATATCTATAGCCTTAAAGGAGCTCTTCCTGGCATCTAGAAAGAGTCTGCAGTTTGATCAAATGTTCGAATCCCCAGTTGTACATGGCAAGGAGTAGGGTCGCCTGTCCAACCTCGTGGGTTTTCTTTGGGTCCTCCGGTTTCCTCCCACTGCTAAAGACCCCTATGCGCAAGCGAATTATGTAAATAAAATTAAACCATATGTTAGTCCCGAAATGACCTAGTTTGTGTCGAGTGGACGTTAAACCCCATTTCTCTCTCTTTTTTGGATCAAATTTCAACACCGATTTCCCTTTCTCAGTGGTGCAGGATGGAAGAGCCTGGTAAGGAGACGATGTTACAAGGTCCATCCATGTAGTCTTTGGCGTGCACGTTAAAGAACCATTGACAGTTGGAATTGGATGAAGAGTATGCAAAATTTTCCTCATAGCACACTGTATGATGTATGTCTGTTGTCATTAGCCCAGTTGATGCAGAAAAGTAGGACGAAAAAAAAACCTGAGGTCCTGTGTGCACATAAATAAACCCTTGAAGGCAGAAAAGTTGGATGTTAAACCCTATTTGAAATCTGGAAAGAGGAAGATTAACTTCCCTGAACACAATTTAATTTATTGGTGTATTGTTTAACAGTTTTATATTGGTCTGTATTAATCTGTCTCATGTGATAAATTTGTACAGTTAATTTTCTATCATCAGCTGTTCTCATTTATTATATTTCACATCCTTGATATAATATCACAACTTCAAGGTATAGAATTTCTCCACGATAATATGACCAGGTTTAACTCTTTTTCAACCACCTGTTTATAAATGTGAAATGAAATGGGGTGTAACGTCCTACCGTTCTGCTCCGACTGAGCTAATAGACGGGCATACGCCATACAGTGGGCTATGAGGGAAATTTTGCCCGGACACTGGCACTGACCTACTCTTATATCGAATTCCAACTGCCAAGTGATCTTTTACGTGCATATGTGCCCTCCGTCCTGCCGCACTGACATGGGGAAACCACATCTGAAAATCCCAATGAACTTTCTCGGCCAATGCAGGGATCAAACACGCGACCTCCAGGCTATTTATAAATGAAGCTTTTGTTTAATTTTGAAGTCATGTCCCTAGTTCACAAATTATTCTCAGACTTAAGTTATGAATTTACTCAAAATTTTTCGCCTTATTTTAACTGAAATATAGCCCTTTATAAAACTACTGTTGTTTTAAAATATCAAATACATCAATAAGAAACTATGTGCAAATTTTTGTGTTTCTGGATCAAAGGAATTTTTCATAAACAGTGATTGAAAGTTAACAAAATAACACGTTAATGAGAAAACTAAAGTCTGTTTGTTACATTTTGATTTTTCCGAAAATTATTGAATTTTCCACTGTTAGTCTACAATGAAATATACTCATTAATAATTTAACATTAAATTTAAAAAAAAAAAAGAAAATTAAAATATCAAGATTAGTTAATCTCCCAGTTCGGATTCTATCAGATGAAAGAAGAGACCCCCATTAAAATATTCTAGTGAAGATTTGACCATGTCTCGTTGAATCAAGTAGAATATTTGGACCATTCTGTCTGTTAGATTGTATCTTGAGGGATTAATTGATCGTAGGTTTAGGTTGTTCATCGACCGACAGACTGTGTTGAATTTCAAATCGGGATACAAGTAGTAAGCAGGTTGTATTGTTTGAGAGTTTTAGGAGCAGATCAGTTGCATCAGGTTGAAATGTCAGGATGCACCAAGAGGCATTAATTGATCCACGTTAATGGCATTTTATCGGATATTTCCGTCTGTGGAATTCAAGGGAATCTAGAGAGGAATTTTATTGTTCATCAGAAGAATACAGAATTCTTTTCATTCCATCAATCTAGAAAGAACTTTATTGTGTATCAGAATAAATATGTAAATCTTTTAATTCAGAGGTGCTTATTGAGATTATATATTGGGAACTATATAGTGTGATACGTTTCTATCTTGAGTGAGAAGAATATGTAATTCTTTAAATTCTTAGGTGCTTTAGAGAGTTTTTATGGAGATGATGTATTTGTAACTATAATGTAGTGTGATATGTTTCTATCTTTAGGGAATAATCTGAGTTTGTTCTAGTTCTGTAGTATATTTCATCCATTCTGTAACAATTGGGTAAAATACAGAAATATCATTGTTTTGATTTCAAATTACCTCTGAGATAGAATAGGGGTATTTCCCGACCGTACTGAATATAGACCCTACCTTCAATCAATTGTATGGAATAAGCTCTACTAGTTGACTCAGGAGAGTAGGTGGTCTAATGGTTTAACAAGACGAGGGGTAGGATCGCCTGTCAAACCTCGTTGGTTCCAAAAGGTCAGTCATTGAGTCAAGTGGCGTGGTTTTGATTCCTTGCTTGTACGTGACTAGGAGTAGGGTGTACGCTGTATCATAAGGTCTGTCAATGAGTCAACTGAAGTGGTTTCGATTCCCTGGTTGGACGTGACAAGGAGTAGGGTCGCCTGTCCAATCTCGTGGGTTTTCACCAGGTCATCCAGTTTCCTCCCACTGCTAAAGACCCCAATGCGCAAGCAAATTATTGAGATAAAATTGAACCATACCTTAGTCCCAAAATGACCTTGTTTATGTCAAGTGGATGTTAAACCTCATCTCTCTCTCTCTCTCTTAATTGGATATGGACAGTTGTATGAAATGAGATTTACATGTTGACGCGACAAGAAATCTACAGAAAGAGATTATTGAGTTTCCTGTCATTTTACCTCAGCTGTTTTACATTTGTTCCAACTTTCTGATTATTCGTTGTTCAGATCAATAATTGGTGGCAGACCTAGTTTCGTGGTTTTCTGAGTTGGCAGTATACTCCACGTTATTGTGTTTAGAACTGTTGTGGTTTCTAAACGGGAAGAACTTTTAGATTTTTTGATTGTGTTTTGTGACAAATTGTGTGGAATATAAACGTTATTAAATAATGGCTCTATCATTATTAGTGAAACAAGCTCTAAAGGCAAAGAAAAAGTAAGTTTAAGAGGTTGATCTAAAGGTGGAGGGGTGGGTGGGGGATATGGGAGTGTGTGTATGATATTATAAATACAGTTTGCGGTGAATATTGAAGTTTGATTATAATTATATGAGAGTAACGTTTTAATGAATTGCATAGATTTATATGTATATTAGCGTACATTTAGGAAATGTTTTGAATGCCAAGTGGAGGGCATATTATTATATCTTTACAATTGGGAAATTGGCTTGAAAAGTTCCAAAAGAAAGAGATTCAAATTTTCACTATCTGTCACAGTGTTTAGTGGACCTGACAAGGAACTTCAGATTATAAAACTACAATATCAAATATTTTCTTCTAACCCATAGATTATTGTCTTCCAACAAAATTAAGGGAAGAATATTGAATTTTGAAATAAACTCAGTCCTTCCATCCGTCTCAGTTTTGTTTCTGGAGTGTATCTCATAAAATGTTCCTGAAACTTTGTGGTTTTCTCTAATTAGAAATTTTGCGAATCGAATCGTATTTGGGTTTCCATGTAAACAATGGATGATTGAGTCTTGTTTTAATCCACTGTTTGTTTTCTTTCCAGTGCCGATAATTTACCAGAAAAAGAAGTCGAGGTAAGTTCTTTTCCTTTTATAGTTCATTTACAAACTGATCAGTTAATATTTGATTGGCCGCTACTATCATAGAAATGATTGACATCAGTGAGAATTAGTTAGCTCTTATAATGTTAACTTTTATATGCCAACATTTTGATGTGGGTGCGTATTGCTGTCGCCCCTGTTCGGCCATTCAGATTTTATGCGTGGATAATGAACGGGTCATAGTTTTTATCCGATTTTGACTAAATTTGAAATATAGGTTTATATCCCGAAGGTCTTGGTTCATTTCGATATTGGCATATATTCAAGGATTATGGCCCCACATCGCATCTGGACCGGCGACCCTTTTCACATTCAAGTGGTGAACGAAATCATGCCACTTGACTCAATGACAAATCCGTGTAATTTCTTTCTATTCAGCCTCCCCATAAAATAATAATAATAATGATAAGCCCTGTTTATATCACGATGCTCTATGACAGGCCATCCAACCTCCCCATAAAATGATAAAACCTGTTTATATCACGATGCTCTATGACAGACCATGTGATTTCAGGCCATCCAACTTCCCCATATAATAATAAACCCTGTTTATATCACAATGCATAGAAATTCTGAATATAAATAGATCTTGAATCATGAGAGAAACAATGGAGTTTTGAAATATTACATAATCTATAATGTTTCTTTAATCCACTGTCACGTGCATGTACTGAGTACTTTGTCTTTGTCAGATTTTCTGTCCATAATTAAGTTGTTGGAGGCTTTTAGTAGTTTAAGCAGAAACAAATTCAATTGAAATCCATTAACTAATAGATGTTTGCTACATTACAATAATCAAATAATGGTGGAGAGATTTATTCACAGACGGTCAACCGGTTTCTAAACCGTATATCCCTATTTCTTGACTCTTGAGTTTTATAGACTCTTTCTTTATGTCGTTCTCCTGATGTTAAAGGAGCTAAGTCTCTAACTCAATATTTTCCATAATATTCGATATTTAAAAATGGGTGTTTATGCTATATACTGCCCTGTAAGGTGTTTATATGCTACATATTGCCCTATATGGTTATTTATAGTACATATTGCCCTATATGCGCATTTATAGTACATAATGCCCAATATGGGTATTTATAGTAAATACTGCCCTATATTGGTGTAACAATGTGATATAATTTATTTTATTGCACTTTAAAACTTATAATTCTTAAACTGTAACAATTATAACAGGCCCTGATGTAGGCAATCTACAGTTGGGGTCTCACAGAATTACACATTTCGTTTTGCTTTTAATACATTATTTTATGCCCACATTTTCACATGAATGTATATTGTCATCGTCCCTGTTCGTTTGTGTGTCCATTTACATTTTGTTTGTGGACACTCTACAGGTCACAATTTTTATCTGATTTTAACGAAACTTGAAATATTGGTGTATCTCCCAAAGATCTTGGTTCTTTTCAAACTCGGCATGTATCGAACCGTTACTCGGCTCCTATCAATATTTATGTATATCGGACCATAGCTTGATTATGGCTTTTGATTGTTCAAAAAAATCGCGTTTTTGTTCAGCTTGTTCTCTGTCCATCTCTTGCAAAATGTGGGCATATCTTGCCTGGCAACCACTGGTTGTCTTTTTATGTGTACTGCTCAGGAATTCATCAATTCTAAATCTGACAAAGGACAACTCGCTTGTTTAATTACCAGTTTCCAGTTTGTCAGCCAATTTGTCAATTGTCACCTAAACCCTTGAAAAATTAAACTAAATTTGTGAAAATTGAGAGATCGTAAAATAATTGATTGCTTTGAACTGAAAGAAATTGTTAAATAAGCCTTCAATAAACAATGGAATAGTTTTATTGTAATTGATAGACATGTAATATTGCAAGTTACCCTCGGGGGCGTTTAATATGTTATACTACTAATATTACCAGTCACTGCACCAAGATTTTTCTCTTTTTTTTGTGACATTCACTGAATGTTATAAGGTCTGAAATTTTTGAAAGAAGAAATATAAAAAAATTGTTGTCTAGGCATATTCTGTCCTCAATAGACATAGTTATAATAGTAGAGATAAAAGGGTCTTCATTCATTTACCCCAGCATATTCTATTTTAAATTTTCAAATGTCGGAGGGGCGGGGGATCTTTAATTGACTGCCATAGGTATACATGTCATAAGACATGGGTTTTTATCCTCTGATTAACTTTCTCTGTCAACACAGGGATCAAACCTCCAGATTAGTGTCTCACTCAGTATTGTTAATTAATAAATGAAATGAAATGGGGTTTAACGTCCTACTGTTCTACTCCTAAACTGGGCTAATGAAGACGGGCATACACCATACATTGTGCTATGAGGGAAATTTTGCCCAGGCAGCGGCACTATGGCCTACTCTTATATCGAATTCCAACTGCCAAGGGATCAATTACTTGCACACCAATGTGTACACGGGACTTCGTTTTTTTGCCCCATCCGAATGACTAGACAGCTGTCCTTGTCAGGCCCTCCGTTCTGCACCACTGACAAGGATAAACAACGTTGGAAAATCCCAAAGAAATTTCTCGCCCAATGCAGTGGTCGAACATGCAACCTCCAGGCTAGATAGCCCACATCTTACCCACTTAGCCCCTGTGGCTCCCCAATATGGTTTAGCAAAATATCGACAGAACGTAAGGTATCAGATTTATCTCTTAATTTATTCATATTTGAATCAATCTTTCTGTGATAAATCAGAAATAGCTGTAATATAGTTTCATCAAATGTGGGAATAATGTGGCCAGGGTCCATGTAATTTGTTTTAAATGACAGGGTAATTTGTCAAGTAGGTATAGTTAATTAATCAAATGGTCAGAGATTAACGGTTAAATTGTTTATACAGAGATAAAGATGGCCTTAAGGTGATTTATCCAACCCCTGTCTTATTATTATTTACATGATGTCAGAATGGTATGCTGTCTTTATCGATTATTTTTCATTGATATATTCATAGCAAGCAAGTGTGTTAAACCTTCAGCACTGAATGCTGACTATCCCAGAATTATACAAAAATGATCTTCATTCCATTTGATGAAATAAAATGGGGGTTGGATGGCCGAATGTTTAGCATGTGCGCATTGTATCATCAGGTCTGTTATTGGTCTGGCGTGGTTTTGATTCTCCGGTTGTATGTGTCCCACTGCTAAAGACCCCTACGCGCAAAGAAATTATTGAAATAAAAAAGTGAACCATATGTCAGTCCCAAAATGACCTGGATTTGTCGCGTGGATGTTAAACCCCATTTCTCTCTCTCTCTCTCTCTCTCTCTCTCTGTAAGACTTGGTAACTGGGGTTAACTTATGGTACTGGAGACTCAATTTATAATTTTTTGTCATTTTAATGTTCAAAAACTGTTGAATGGAATAAAGGCAAGAACTGTTCATTAGTTTCTAATTATGAGTTGTATCTATTGACGGAGATTGGTTGGGTGGCTGAGTGGTTGAATTCATACACTTCAGATCATACTGTCGATCATTTAGTCAAATTGTGTGACTTTGATAACCGGTTTGTTAGGTGACAAGGTGTAGTTGATATTGTACGTTTTCTGTAGACTAGTCATAATAAAAACTGTCATAAGCACCGTATGAAAATCCTCAATAAAACTTCCTGGATAACTTTCTGATAGCACAAGAACAGCTTTACTCTACGACTGTGTTTACTCGAATGTTGGAAGCACAGTTAAAAAGTGGGGAAATCTCAGCTGGCTCATTATAATCATGCAGAAAATAAAATGGAACAATCTAATTGGATAAGAAAAAATGCACAAAATACGTACTGGGTATTTGCAATAATGACTATATGTGTTGAGTTAAAATTAGGCTTTCTCTCTAGTCCCGAAATGACCTAGTTTGTGTCGAGTGGACGTTAAACCCCATTTCTCTCTCTTTTTCTATCTCTCCTTTGCTATATCTCTCCCCATTTCCCCACGCTATTTCTCTCCTTTCCCTCTCTATTTCTCCTCTCCCCCACTTTCTCCCTCTCTCTATCTCTCCCTCTCAATTTATCTCTCCCTTAATCTCTCCCTCTCTCTATATCTCTTCTGTCTCTCTCTCCCACTATTTCTCCCCCCTATCTCTTAATCTATCTCTACCTCCTCAATCTCTCCTCTTTCTCCCTCAATCTGTCTGTCTCCCTCACTCTATCTCTCTCCCTCTTTCTCTTTTTTTTTCTCTCGCCTCCATTTTTTATTCAAGATTTAAATGATATATTTATGCTGTTGTCTCACCTGTGATAACAAACCCAATAAATTCCGTACAATAATAAACTTTGTATTATATTTTCAGAATAAATTCAATGCCTTATCTCTGGCGTTTCGTACTGATCGACTGACATTAGATAAACGGTTAGAAATACAAGAACGAGCTCGAGATATCAGTGAACAGAATGTAGATCAGGAATTACATGGTTTGAGAGAAGCTGTTGAGGTATGTATAAATTATTTACAATAAACCAAGGGCATCCGCGATACCACCCTCAGTAGATTAGCCTTTAACCCTGTTTATATTACAAATTTTTAGGGTGCCAGCAACTGTGCAGTGAATGTTACTGTTCATTTTGTATAGTCTAATTGGGTCAATCATAACTGTGAAGTACGGAGAACCGTGGTATCTGGACCACCATAGTGTACAGATTTCTGCACGTGTTACCATTAAGTTTAAGGGGGGTTGGATGGCCGAATGGTTAGCATGTGCATGCTGTATCATAAGGTCTGTCATTGAGTCAGCTGGTGTGGTTTTGAATCCCCAGTTGTACGTGACTAGAAGTAGGGTCGCCTGTCCAACCTCGTGGGTGACCTGTCCAACCTTGTGGGTTTTCTCTGGGTCATGAAGTTCGGCCTTTTGACCATTTTCTCTGTGACTGAAATTAACTTTTCTGTGAAGTGCTTTGCACCTAGTTACAATATAGCAATGTAAACAATGAAATTTCTTGAAAATTAATTGTGATCTGGAACAGTATGCTTATCACAGCTAATTGTAAACACAGCTTTTGTCTTTTCGGCTTTGACCTTTCGTATACAATTCTTGTATATTATTGATGTAATACAATTTATTTTCATCATTCCTGAGCACAAATTAAGGGGTCATGGTAGTCGAGAGGTAGGTAAATGCCCTCTTGGATTGGAATGTGCTGAGATCAAATCCAAGCATGGTGCCGAAAAAAGATGATTCTCACTTGTCAAGCATGTCTCCTGCAAGGCTGACAAGGACAGTGTGTATAGTTTGGGTGGCAAAAAAAAACCAATTAACGGTATTACTATTGTGAAAATCTTCAACTAAATATTGTACTGATAAATTTCCCAGAAATATTCTTATTAATTGATAATTTGTTTTATTTCAGACGTTAAACCGGTTATGTTCCGATACACAGATTCGAGAAGTTATAACGAAAATCCGAAATCATATCGATGTTTTAGAACAGTGTGCTGCACGAGTTTCTAGTAGAGCGGAAGTTCTCGGTGCTGTACAACAGGTTTGTCAGATTATCACATCAAGGGGACATAACTCTTTTTATCTGTTATAAATTAACAGATGAACTAAAGATGTATTATGTAAGAGTTGAATACGGCTATTGCAGGTCTTTCTTTGTCAAATATTATATAAATTATTATATAGATATTTATTAAACATGCATACAAACTATTAAAAATACATTATGGAAGATTAGATAAAGAGCTGGCAGTTCTCACTATAATAGTCAAAAACAAGATAATGTAAAGGGAATATGCTGAAAATTTCAGTCAAATTGAATCACTCTAAGCCGAGAAAACGTTATTTTAAAATCACTGTAGCCTCAATTGTCATTGTCACCACTGTCACAATAATTAAAAAATTCTCAATTATCCATTTTTGCGGTTAATCATCAACAGGCATTGAACAGCAGATCAGATTCAAATCTGATGAAAATCGGACACATAAGATGGCATCGAGAGTTGATTAAGCAGAGTGATAAGTAATTTGATTTGTTCAATAGAAGAACTGTGTACTGTTTTCATTGGCTGATTTTAACAATATTGTTATATGGTTATATTTTAGGAACGTAGAATGTGTCGTGCGATGGAGGTGATGATTGTCCATGTAGATAATCAGAAACGTCTTTACGAGAAAGATCATTCAGAGTTGGAGGAAGCCAGGTTTGTATTGTCGATAATCTCGTTAACCTGACGATAGGTGTTTTATCATGATTTGACTAATTAATACTTTGTTCCCTACATCTTATTTTATTTAACACCTTAAAGTCTGTCGTTGAGGCAAGTGGTGTTGTTTCAATTCCCAGCTTGTCCGTCACAAGGAATAGGGTCACCTGTCTATCCCTGTGGTTTTCCTCTGGGTCCTCTGATTTCCTCGTACATGCGAATTATTGGAATGAAATTGAACTATATGTTAGTCTTGAAATGACTACACATGGCACAAAATACTGTCATGAAGTGTCTTTCTACTGAGATTGACACAAAACAACTAAATCATATCAGGAGACGTGTTTCTACTTGAAATACACCTAGAAATAGACCTCTGATGTTAAACACTGTGATTGGGTGTCTTTCTACTATGTTAAATGCATAAACACATAGAATGACTGACTCAAACTAAGTAAAGAAAAACATGAATCATGCATACTCCCCGCAGTGTTTCGTTTGATTAGAGCTAATCCCACTACTCACTGCTGTAAAGAAAGAAAATTCTTGTTCCAAATTATGACTGGTCAATAGTCAGATTAACAACCAATAGTTAACTGCTTAACTAGATCATTACGCTTTAAACAGAGCTCCAAATTGGACCAAATATGTTTACATAACGTTACGTCATGAATCACGATTTTATTATGCCCAATTAACCAGTGCATAGCAGAATATTGCAGAAAAACTAATTGTGTGACAAACGAGGCTATCAACACGGATATAATGCAAACAATACTGTTTTGAGACGAACAATACTTTCACCGTTTTTAATACCTTAAATCACTGTCCAAAGACCCCAGATTAAACGAAGGGCAGTCATGCTGCTGTGCTTTTGGATAGATTTGATTGAACGGGAGAAATAGACACACTCCCTCAAAAGAGCAAGTATCAGAAGCTAATCCAGCAATGGCCGGAGAGGGATTTCTCGGGCCATTGCTTCAGGATTATGGGATCACATGGCTTTTCACATTTTCTTAGTGTGCCGTTCAAAATTTCGCTGCACACTTAGAAAGATCTTGCAGCACACTGGTAGAGAATCACTGGTTTAGAACAAGAGTACAGGAAAATAATCTTTTATTACATATTTTATTGGCTGTATATTTTTCATCATGCTTCTTCTATCGATTGCTCTTTATTATATCGTATAATTTCTCCAGGGCAGTGACTCCCAACCTCTTTCCACTTGCGGACATCTAATGAATCTCCAAAGACACTCAATTCCTCTCCACCCCCATCAACTCCTCCCCCCACCCATCAACTCCTAATCTGTTCAGTCAGTTTTCCTGTATTACGCTTTAAACCACTTTCCACTAAATGTTCGGATAAACCCTAATGAAAACCTGGTGCACTTGGATAAACGTGGTATCAACTCATCCATCGCAAGATGTTCACCATTCCTGTTATACTGAAATTCGTTATCAGAATACTAGTAATTCCATACTTTATATTACCGGGTTATCTTTATTTCAAGCCCCCACCCCCTGTCCCCTTTTCACAAACCTCCGGTTGGGAATCACTGCCATGCACTTGTGTTAGCTGAAGTCCTATTTTATTGAATTATAGGTCAATGACTGAATTTTAACAAAATTGAGGCCTTAACAGTAATTTATTTTCTTTGGTTTGTAATTTGTCGTAAAAAATCAAAGTTTGATACCAACTTGGTCTTGATGTTCTTGGATAGAATGGCATTATACTAGAGACATCGACAACAATTACAAGAAATTAAACATGACTGCATGAAATCATATTCATTTGTACTTCAGATGGCCATAACTTTAATTAGGAATGATCGTTTTTAAATTGTTTTGGATCCATATGCATTTTATCCTATTCTTGTGCAGAAAAGTTGGATGTTAAACTCCATATTATTTCATGCAGTGTGAAAGGTTTGGCTATATTTGCTGTTCATTACAAAAGTTCGACTTTTAGCATCAAGTTTCTAATTGTAAGATATGTTTATAAACAATTATGAAACGTTAATATTTTTTTTAAAAATCAATAATGCACGACTTCACTAATTATTTCACAGATATTTTATTTTATTTCATCATATTATTAGAATTAGTTGGTCGTTGTATTTAGTTTTTTTCTCTTTATGTTTATTTTGCTTGTAGGAAAGTTTTACAAGATCGTCCGTTTGGTTCTCTCTATGGCGATGCGCCCACTGGTAGGTTTCAATTTTTTTTTTTGATTTTGCCTTTAAAAAGGTACAGATGAATGACAATATATGATTTGGAGAATTCTGATAATGAATTTAATCGTTGACCTAATAACGGTGATATTTTTGAATTGACAAGAATCTATTTTTTGAGTGGCATTTAATAATTGGCATGCTTATTACTATGGTTTATTAAACTGCAACATGTCGACCAGATTTCACAAGTCGTTATTTAAAGGGGCATTATGAGAGATTAGATAAAGAGCTGGCAGTTCTCGCTTTAATAGTTAAAAAATAGATAACGTAAAGAGAATATGCTGAAAATTTCAGTCATATTGCTCTACTCTGAACTGAGATATTGGCAATTGAATTTTAGGCCTAGTCTCGCTCATCATTTTTGAAGTCGGTACAATAAAAAATAGTCTTGATTATCCATTTTGACGTCAAATCATCCATCACAAAATGTATTCAAATCCAGTAAATATTGGAGGCTAGCAATGGCATCGGGAGTTGATTATAGTCTGGATAAGTTAATTAATGTCTTAATTAATAGTTTAGATAACATTTCAGACCTAGAAAAAGACCTGCAATAGGCAGATTTAGCTCTTGCATAATGTATGTTTAATTGTGTTAATACACTGCAATGTTTCTACCAGATTTCACATGTGGTTGTTTAATTGTGTTATTTGGTAAAAGGATCATTTTCAAAACTTACTGTGTAAAATAATAGATCTAATAAGCATGAAATTATTGATATATCCAGGGTATTTACGAGTAACACGTATGTGGTAATATGGTCATTCTATAGACTTAATGAGTTTTGTATTATTATGCATATTTATCCTTTCAATAGGTGGGGGAGGGGGGATGGCCGAATGGTTAGCACGTGCGCTCTGTATCATAAGATCTGCCATTGAGTCAGCTGGCGTGGTTTTGATTCCCCGGTTGTACATGACAAGGAGTAGGGTCGCCTGTCCATCCTTGTGGGTTTCTCCGGGTCCTCTGGTTTCCTCCCACTGCTAAACACCCCTATGCGCCAGCGAATTATTGAAATAAAATTGAACCATATGTTAGTCCCGAAATGACCTAGTTTGTGTCGAGTGCATGTTAAACCCCATTTCCCTCTCTCTCCCTATTAATTTAACTCTCTAGATTATCAGATGGTAGAGATTGAAATACGATCACCATTTGATAATTTAATTCAAAAATGGATAATCGAGACATTTTTTTTTTTATCGTAACAATGGTAGCAATGAAAATCAAGACTACCCAATTCTTAATTAAACTTTTGACATTCATAACTTCGCTCAGAATAAAGTAATTTGATTGAAATTTTCACTCTATTCCCTTTTCTTTAACTTATTATAGTGAGAACTGTCAGCTGTTGATATAATCTTACATAACCCGTCTTTAAATAATGATATCTTGTCTGTCAGCCCCTATGTATCTTGTTTGTCAGCCCCTATGTATCTTATCTGTCAGCCTCTATAGTCTTTGTATCTTGTCTGTCAGCCTCTATGGATCTTGGCTGTATCCTTGTCTGTCAGCCGTTATGTATCTTGTCTGTCAGCCGCTATGTATCTTGTCTGTCAACCGCTATGTATCGTGTCTGTTTAGTTGTATCTGTTTTGTCAGCCTCTTTGTGTCTTAGACTGTACTCTTTTATTTGCAGATATAGATTTTGTAGTAAAAATGTATTACACACTATTTTTTAAAATTATTTTCAAGGCTAAAATACTTTTTGTTGAATATGAAGAGCTATTTATGTAGTAATTTATAGATATAGAAGATTCATGTATGGGTTGACTATATACCAGTATATCCCAGTAATCTAATGCTTAAACTCTAGATCATAAGGTCTGTCATTGTGTCAAGTGAAGTTGTTTCAATCCTATTATAAAGTTTGTCTTTAATGGATATTAAACTCTCTCTTCTGCCCCCCCCCCCTTCTGCCCCCCCCCCCCCCTCTCTCCCTCTATCTCTCTCTCTTTGTATGGGGAAAGTTATTGCTTATTATTATGATCTCTTGGGGATTTTTTATTACAGAAACGAGAAGGTCAATGTCCGTGTGTGTAGCCAACGGAGGACCGAGAGTAAGTTATAAATTTTTTAATATACATTGTGAAAGAAAGAGAAATGGATGAATGAATAAATGACCAGGAAAAGCATTGTTGACAGATATTTCCTTTTGCATAGAGCACTCCCAACACTAATTACTATATTCACCTAATGGGTTGCTTTTATTTCACTTTGGGGTTGAAGTTCTTCAAGCCAACTTAGAATAACATTAACTGGTCTCTCGCCACCCATTAATCTGTATTCAACATAAAATTTTATGCATTAAAATTGTATAAATATTATTAGCAACTAGAGCTCATTGATCAGCTCTAAAGTACTCATAGTATTTTGATTTTTTTTTTAATTATTTTGATTTTTTTAAAAATTATTTTGATATTTTTTCATATCCATACTCATAATATTTGGATATTCTTCATAATATTTCATACTTTAACTTTAAACTTTGTTGTGATCACTCACATAATTTGATATATATCACATTGTTTTGACATTACACATATTTTATTTCAATATTTTTCACATTATTTTGATATTACCAGCAATTGTTGTGTTATACTATACTCACATTTTTTTTCAATACAAATTACTTGTTTTAGGTTTTTAGCTTGTTCTCTATCCATCTCTTGCAAAATGTGGGCGTACCCTGCCTGGCAGCCGCTGGTTTCAATACAAATTACTCACATTTAAATTTTGATATTACTTATATTTATGTTTCTATCAACCTGATTAAAATATAGATCCATATTTCGTTTCGTTTCGTTTTTTTATACTTTCGAAGGCCGAAAAAGTTCATCCCAATTTCCCGGCGTGGGTTCCCCTTGTCAGCTGTCTAGTCGTTCGGATGGGATGAAAAACCAAGGTCCCGTGTACACATTGGCGTGCATGTTAAAGATCCCTTGGCAGTTGAAATTCGATATAAGAGTAGGCCGTAGCGCCGCTGCCCGGGCAAAATTTCCCTCATAGCATACTGTATGGCGTATGACCGTCTTCATTAGCCCAGGTTAGGAGTAGCTTTTGACCCTATGATGTCAGACATTTGATAAACCAATCAGCATTGATGTTACTTGTGGATTACCCACAGTTCCGTGCACCTCACTCCAAAAGCTCGCCTTAACAGACCGTTTCATTGGCTAATCCCTCACATTATCAAGAACACAAAGACAAGGAAAACGAAATTTTGAACTGTAAAAAAAAAGAAACGAAATAAGATCTGTGTTTTAATCAGATTGTGTTTATATTATACTCACACGATTTTTGTATTGTATTAGCAACGCAACAATAAAATAACCACACTACACGTTATAGCCAGTAGTAAATTACCAGACAAGGTAGATAACTCTTATTTATAACATTGTTGTAGTGAAGTGTTGGTCACACCCTGCCACCCAAACTTGCTTTATATATTTTTTTCTGGGTTTTTTTGTGAATTTTTTTAAAATTAAACCTTTGTTTTTTTATGATATTGATAAAGGATCAATTATATATTTTTGGTTGCCATATTTACTAGTTCATTCTGAGAAAATGGATACTTTTTTTTTTATGGGTCCAACCTTTCATGTTTATTTTTATTTACGTAATATTTTGTTTTTCATCCCCTATCATGAAAGGTTGGCATTAGGATCACAAATTACATGCTGTGAAAGTTTCTAAATAACCAAGTTGTTCACATTTTTGCCATTAAGCAAATCTCACGATCAATTCTGAATAGCTCAATATTTTGATTTGAAATTTTCTGAAAAGGTATAAATGCAATTTATTGTCACATTTGGTACTTAAATAAACTTTATATACCATGTGTTTTGAAACCTAGGACTGCCCTTTTATATGGTAGCTAGCATGGTAAATTGTAGTCATAGTTAGAATTGTGATAGGTGAAATAAGCCAGCATGTATTCATGAAATAAGCCTGCATGTATTCATATAAGTTTTACGTTGTAAACAGTCATAAACCAAATTATAAATTTTAGTGATATCATATAAATGATTTTTTATTTTATATATTTAGACTATTAGGCTTCCTTTGTTAAGGGGGGTTGGGTGGCCGAATGGTTAGCACATGCGTGCTGTATCATAAGGCCTGTCATTGAGTCAACTGGTGTGGTTTCGAATCCCCGGTTGTACGTGATAAGGAGTAGGGTCACCTTCCAATCTCGTGAGTTTTCTCTCCGGGTCTTCCATTTTCCTCCCACTGCTAAAGACCCCTACGCGCAAGTGAATTATTGAAATAAAATTAAACCATATGTTAGTCCCGAAATGACCTAGTTTGTGTCGAGAGTACGTTAAACCCCATATCTCTCTCTCTCTATCTCTCTCTCTCTCTCCTTTATTGTGTGGGCTGTAGATCACAAGGTCCATCATTGAGTCAAGTGGTTTCGATTCCCCGCTGACAAGGATTAAGGTTCCCAGTCCAACCTCATGGGTTTTCTCTGGGTCCTTTACTTTCCTCCCACAGCTACAGCTAAAGACTCCTGCGCTCAAGCGTATTAATGAAATAAAATTGAACCATATGTTAGTCCCAAAATTACCCAGTATGTGTCAAGTGGATGTTAAACCCTGTTTTACTCCCTTATTGAGTAATGTTTATTAAATTATGGTTTGTTGAGAGAGTTGAGATACAGAATCAGTTTAAATCTAAACAAAAATAAAGAATTTACATTTCAACTTGACAGTAAATCCACGGATATGTACACATGTATTAATAGTAATGTCTTGGACAAATTTTGTGTCAATTTCATACTTTTTATTTTTTGTCCCCCGCCTTTCGAAGAAAGCAGGGGACTATTAAAATGGGTTCGTCCGTCTGTCTGTCTGTCCGTCTGTCTGTCCGTCACACTTTTTGGGACACAATAACTCTCTTCCTAATTGAGCTAGAATGTTCAAACTTGGTGTATGTGTTTATTAGGTCAATGCCTTGATGGAGTTCGAAGATGAGCATTTTCCGCTTAGGGTAAGCAGAGATAAGCAATTTGATTGGTTGATGCTTTGGGACACGATAACTCTCTTCCTAATTGGGCTAGAATGTTCAAACTTGGTGTATGTGTTGATTAGGTCAATGCCTTGATGGAGTTCGAAGATGAGCATTTTCCGCTTAGGGTAAGCAGAGATAAGCAATTTGATTGGTTGATGCTTTGGGACACGATAACTTTTAATTGAGCTAGAATGTTCAAACTTGGTGTATGTGTTTATTAGGTCAATGCCTTGTTTATTTTGATTCTATCTGATAGAGAGTGATGAAACTTAATGTATACTTAATAATCAGTTTGATTGCTGGATACTTTTGAAAAAGATAAACATGCAATTAATTAATATATGTCATCTATTTATTTCGGGATTTCAGCGGGGGACATCAGCCTCACTGTTGGCTTGTTGTGTTTGGAATTTAGTTCATTTTCTCTGGTTTGTAATCTTCTTTTATTAGATTTAGGTTCTTTTATTCAAGGTTATCCTGCTAGTGCTTTCATTGTCTTGAATTCTGAATTTATAGATTTTGAATTCTTTTACAGATGTGATTCCTTGTTTTCAGATACAGTCACAAAACTAAATGGACAACGAGTTATCTTAGAAAGACGTTTTTATTTATTTATTTATTTTTTTTTTTCAGGAAATCGTTGTTGATCACATATTTCAATTATACTTTCAAAAATTATCTGGAACATGTTTGACCCAACGTCACTAATATATCACACACCGAATTTTGTCTCTTTGACAGTTGTTAGAGGCGAGGGGAGGGGCGTTTGCACTTTAGATCAGAAGGTCTGTCATAGAGTCGAGTGGTGTGGTTTAGATACCTGGTTTGTAGGTGACAACAGCCTGACGTTGTGGGTTTTCTCTGGGTCCACTGGTGGTCACAAATTGCTAAAAAACCTCTATGCAAAATGGGGGTCACAGTGGCTTAGTGGGTAAGACGCTGGCTCGCTAGCCTGGAGGTTCCCTGCATTGGCCGAGAAAGTTCATCCAGATTTTCTAGCGTGGTTCCCACTTGTCAGTGATGCAGGACGGAGGGCCTGACAAGGACAGCTGTCTAGTCGTTTGGATGGTACGAAAATCTGAGGTTTTCATCTTAGATCAAAAGTACATATGGATTTTCCAGTTTGATTCCCCCTTGTCAATGGTGTGGAATAGAGGTTCTGGCAAAAGACAATGAATAGTCATTCGAATGGGACAAAAAAACAATGTCTCTTACACATAAAAGAACCCTTTGGTAGTTGGAATTTGATATAATACTAGGTCGTAGCGACGCTTTCCAGGCAAAATTTCCCTCATAGCACGCTGTATGGCACATTCCCATCGTTGCTAGCCTTGTCGTGTCAGAAAAGTGGGACGTTAACCCCCCCCATTTCATTTTAATTTAATCTAAAACGGACCTTGACTTAGTTTTTTCAATGTCGGGTAAAAGACACTTACATATTTCATCAAATATGGCTGTCACATATCTCTAAGGTATTTCACAGTAGGTGGTCCTTTTTATACGTCCACATTCATAATGTGAACGTATTATGCCGTCGCCCCTGTGTGTGTGTGTGTGTGTGTGTGTGTATGTATGTATGTGTGTGTGTGTGTGTGTGTGTCTGTGGTTCGCCTACAGGGCGCAATTCTTCATGGATTTTCTTCAAACTTGGTATACTTATTCCTTATACCCCAAGGAAGATCCCTATTGTTTTTGGTGCATGCCCGACCCCCCGGGGCAGAGCCACGCCCATTTCTAGTATTTGTTTGTTTGTCGTCTACAGGCCACATTTCTTAACTAATAATCTTGAAACTTTGCATACACATTCTTTGTACCCTAAGGAACATCCCTATCGTTTGGGGTGCATGCCCAACCCCCAGGGGCAGAGCCACGCCCATTTTCTTTTCGTGTGTCTTTGTGTCGCCTACAGGGCGCAATTCTTACTGGATTTTCTTCAAACTTGGTATACTTATTCCTTATACCCCAAGGAAGATCCCTATTGTTTTTGGTGCATGCCCGACCCCCAGGGGCAGAGCCACGCCCATTTCTAGTATTTGTTTGTTTGTCGTCTACAGGCCACATTTCTTAACTTATAATCTTGCATACACATTCTTTGTACCCTAAGGAACATCCCTATCGTTTGGGGTACATGCCCAACCCCCAGGGGCAGAGCCACGCCCATTTCCCATTTTCTTTTCGTGTGTCTTTGTGTCGCCTACAGGGCGCAATTCTTACTGGATTTTCTTCAAACTTGGTATACTTATTCCTTATACCCCAAGGAAGATCCCTATTGTTTTTGGTGCATGCCCGACCCCCAGGGGCAGAGCCACGCCCATTCCTTATATTTATTTATTTGTTTGTCATCTACAGACCGCATTTCTTAACGTATCAACTTTACATATTTATTCCTTATACCCTAAGGATGATCCCTATTGTTTTTAGTGCATGCTCGCCTCCCCGGGGCAGAGCCACGCCCATTTTTGTATTTGTTTGTTTGTCGTCTACAGGCCGCATTTCTTAACGTATCATCTTGAAACTTTGCATACTTATTCTTTGTACCCTCAGGAACATCCCTATCGTTTTGGGTGCATGCCCACCCCCCAGGGGCAAAGCCACGCCCATTTTCTTTTTCTATGTGTGTGTGTCGCCTACAGACCACAATTCTTAATCAATTGTCTTGAAATTTTTTCATATGAATTGCTTATACCCTAACGATGACCCCTATTGTTTTTTTACCCCCAGGGGCAGAGCCACGCCCATTTTCTTTTCTTTTTATGTCTGTGTGTCACCTACAGGCCACAATTCTTAATCAATCGTCTTGAAAATTTTTCATATGAATTGCTTATACCCTAAGTATGATCCCTATTGTTTTTGGTGCATGCCCGACCACCAGGGGTAGAGCCACGCCCATCCCTTATATTTATTTATTTGTTTGTCATCTACAGATCGCATTTCTTATCGTATCACCTTGAAACTTAGCATACATATTCCTTCTATCCTAAGGAACATCCCTATTAGTTGTGGTGAATACCCAACCCCCAGGGGCAGAGCTACGCCCATTTTCTTTTTTTATGTCTGTGTGTCACTTGCAGACCGCATTTCTTAATCGATCATCTTGAAATTTTTTTTAGACTTATTCCTTATAGCCTAAGGCTACGTTTTTACACTTATTCCTTAATCCTAAGGCTGGCCTCTATTATTATTTTTGGTGCATGCTCAACCCCTTGGGACAGAGTCACGCCTAATGTTTGTGTGTCTTGTGTTTTGCCTACAGGCCGCAATTCTTAACCGATCCTTTTGAAATGGGGATACCTATTCTAAACGTCATGCTTTTAGAATAAAGACATCGATTGTTTTAAAATAAAAATTGTGTTCTGTTAAT